AAAGTTAAAGGGAATCCTATAGTTGAAATAGCTGACAGAGAGAAAAATTCCTTTCCTCTCCACACATGGACAAATGGGGCAGTCAATTTCAGAGGACAGGAAGTCTTGGCCACAAGGGTGCACAGTGGATGATGAGGCACAAACACACATCTCCTCTCCCCAGCTGGGGGACAGATGCCTGGGCTCCTCCACCTGTCAGACAATGAGCCTCTCCCTCCCTCAACTGATTCCTCGCTCACAGGCCAAGAGACAAACGCACTAGGAATCTTCGCACTGGATCAGGATATTGGGATCGCAGATTTGAAAGCACAGGGTAGGCTGACTTAATCACCCCGTATATCCCACTTACACCAATCTACTAAGGATGTATGTGTCTATGTGCTGCCTGCGAGGGCTCTGGCTGCTCCAAGATGGTCTAGCACTGACAATGAAGTATCTTATATGGAAAAAAAAAGCTGTATGCACATGAATCTATACATGTTAAAAAAAAAAAGAACATATGCATACACACATGTACACATGCAAACACATGATTGGACAATTTCTGGAATGAAACTTAGCAATGGTTGCTTCTGTAAAATTGGGGCGCTGGATTGTGAGGAGTTTTAGATTCTATTAAAACCCTGCTAAACTGTTACTTTTACATGAGCCTATGTTATCTATCTGTATCAACACTAACATCTCTATCTAAATCTATATAAGAAGAAATATAGTCTGGCTTGAGGAGTCTCTGCTGGTGGCTCTTCCAGACTTAGAGGGAGGGCAGGCATGTCTGGCTTGAGGAGTCTCTGCTGGTGGCTCTTCCAGACTTAGAGGGAGGGCGGGCATGTAGGTAGAGGGAAGGAGAAGGAGCACGGGGAGGGAGATGTCAGGAACTTACTGGTGTTGTGGTCTATGAAGTAATCTCCAACCTGTGGGTCATATGCCTCTTCCCATCCTAGCGGCAACTCATCACTAATGCAGTCAGCAAAGGTGAGCGGTTTGGTATACCTGGCAAGGGAGAGGAGAAACACACTCCATCAACCTACAGTCCTCATGCTCCGACAGCTTGCTGCTTCTCTGGGCCTCCTGTCCCTCTGGGCTGACCCAAAGGATCCAGAAGTTTTGCATGGTAGCACCAGTTCTGCTGTCCCCTCTGCTCCCGGGAAGGTGAAGGCATGCCCGTAGCAGCAGGATAAGACGCCCTGGGAGAAAGGCAAAGAATCCGTGTTCCGGTCCCAACTTTGCCACTCACTGGGTAGTGACCTGAGCAAGCCACCTTCCTTCTCTGGGCTTCTGTTTCTGCATCTCTAATAGAAAATTTGCAGGAAAGGGCTGTAAGACCAAGTCTTGCCCCCTGACTTGGCCTCTCGCCCTCTCTGGCCTCTACCTGCAACTCACTTGCCCACCCCTCCTCCAATCTTTATTCCTGGCTCTATCCCATGTTTGTCATGCCCACTTGCCCTTTGGAAAGCTGGCTTACTGCAACATCTAGGACAGCAGATGTCCCATCACTATGAGTTTGGCCAGGGAGCAGTATTTATTTGCCTCTTGAGCTGCTTCCCAATGTCTGTGCCCATGGCTGCCCTTCCCCAGACAAGCTGGGCCAAACTGATCTTTCAGCAACAACCTCTCACAAAGTCCCCATCTTCTGGGCAGTGAAGTGGTGATTATCACCAAGTCTTGACGGCTAAATCAAACAAACAAATCACCCAACTAAACTAACAAAGGCTTGTCAAGGCTGGAAAACTGTATCGTAAACCATTTGTCAAGTGTTTTAACCAGAGTGTGAGGAGCCAGGAATTTAGGCCTATGAGACTCAGCCGGAGTCCTACCCCACTGCCCCACCTCCAGACAGTCACTGTGGTTTCTTCCCATCACTACCTCTGCCTAAAACACATATCCTAATATTCTCCCCTCTCCTGTCTGTGCCCTTCCTCCTCCCAATTCTCCAGAAACCTCTGCTGCACACCCTTTCTACAGACTGGTAAACTAAAGTACACGCACGGTGGGACAGGCAGGAAGAGGACCAGGAAGGTCTAGGACAGCGATTTCCAACCAGTGTGCCTTCAGAGGGTCTTAGGCGTGCTGGGAAAATTTTTAAAGGCCATTAATTAAGTTATGTTTGAAAGACGTCAAAGCACGGTATGTATATATTTTTTATTCTCTTTTTAAAATTTCAGATTAATGTAAGGGTACAAACGACTGTACAAACCCAACAATGTTATTTGTAGTTATGTCCCACATTCAAGAGGATTTACTTTTTCTTTTTCTTTTTTTTTTTTTTGATGAGCATAATTTAAGTGCGCAGCAGAAGTGGCTTGTTGTTTTCTTTTCTTTCTTTTTTTTTTTTTTTAGGACTTTTTTTTATTCTTGCAGTTTGGCTAGGGTTGGGTTTTGAACCCGCCACCCTCAGTATGTGGGGCCAGCACCCTACTCACTGAGCCACAGGCACCACCCTGTTTTCTTTTCTTTTTGAGACCGTCTTACTCTGTCACCTTCAGTACATTGCTGTGGCATCACAGCTCACAGCAACCTCAAACTCTTGGGCTCAAGTGATCCTCTTGTCTCAGCTTCTCTAGTAGCTGGGAATACAGGTGCCTGCCACACGCCCAGTCTTTTTTTTGAGACAGAGTCTCACTATGTTGCCCTCAGGAGACTGCCGTGCATCACAGCTCACAACAACCTCCAACTATTGGGCTTAAGCAATTCTCTTCCCTCAGCCTCCCAAGTAGCTGAGGCTATAGGTGCCCGCCACAATGCCTGGCTATTTTTTGTTGTAGTTGTCATTGTTGTTTGGCAGGCCCAGGCTGGATTTGAACCTGCCAGCTCTGGTGTACGTGTAGCTGGCGCCTTAGCCGCTTGAGCTACAGGCACTAAGCCCCGGCTATTTTTTGTTGTTGTTGAAGTTGTCATTGTTGTTTAGTTGGCCTGGGCTGGGTTCGAACCCGCCAGCCTGGGTGCATGTTGCCATCACCATAACCACTGTGCTACGGGTGCCGAGCTGTGCCCAGCTATTTTTAGAGTTGGGGGCTCAGTCTTGTTCAGGTTGGTCTCCAACTGCTGAGCTCAAGCAATCTACCTGCCTGGGAATGCCAGAATGTTAGGACTACAGGCGTGAGTCACCATGCCTGGCCATGCAGAAATTCAACAATAGGTTCAAGTGTGCTGTAAGATAAAAAAGGTGGGAAAACACTGGTCTGGGATTTCTGATCAAGAGCTTCCTTCCCCTCCCTTGTCCTGCATACACCTTCTCTCTAAAACCCACTCTCGGTGGAAGAAGAGACACCAAGAGAGCATGCGGAGGGGAGGACCTGGGGTGTTCATGTGTTCGTGTACCAGGCACGCTCAGGGTCTGGCAGGCTGTGGAAAGCATCTATCAGTTGAGTGAATGGATAGCCCCAAAGCTTCTGTGGGTAATTTACTGTTGCAGCGGGGAAGACTGTTATTGGTTCCAAGAGGATGAGACCAGAGGTATAGCATATGCAACGGACCACACTCTACAAAATAAGGATTTAAAACTGTGTGAATTAGGCAGCTTACTTCAGCTCTCTGAGCCTCGATATTTCTCCCTGTGAAATGAGGGTAACAATGACTGTGAGTACACTCTGCACAGGTGCTGGTACAAACGAGCACTCAAAAAATATGAGTTATTGGCTTGGCAGCTGTAGCTCAGGGGTTAGGGCTCTGACCATATGCACCAAGGCTGGCAGGTTCAAACCCAGCCTGAGCTTGCTAAACAACAATGACAACTGCAACAAAAAAAATAGCTGGGTGT